AAGGCTAGCAATTCAGAAAACTTCTCTGCTAATAACCGTCAAATCTTCACCTACGGAAGTGCCCCCTCTCGCACAGATGACCACCCTCATCACAGGCACAAACTGTATTACGTTGCTTTTGTTCATTCTACAGGTATGTAACTGCTGATTTTCAGGTATAACTTCGGTAAGTCTCGATCAATTATGTGTTTTAAAGTAATTTCGGAAATGTACAATATTTTAAATACTGAAAAAGTTTTACGTCATCAAATGTTATCTTGACACCTCATCTTGCCCTCCGAAATCAGTTTCTGTTAAAGTCATAAAAATATACATCACACCGCTTTGAGGCTCTCACAAAGCTTGTGAACAAGCACTTTTTTCAAATATCTAATCTGCGGAAGAGCGCTCGATTTTATTTTCGCTGTTATTTTTTATCGCATTTTCCACAATTAAGGAAATTTTTTCAAATAAACTTGTTCTATCATGTTCTCTAAACTTGATTAAAAGGTTGTTATTTGAATAAAATTACCAAGGAATTCTATTTATCGCATGCGCATGAACAACATGTAAAGCTCAAAAGGCAAATAAATATCAGTAGGCTCAGTATTATTATTATGAGCGGACATTGTATTTTTCAACACTATTAGGGGTTTTTCAAAAGAAGTTACAAACGGTTCTAGATGTTGCCTTTTCTTCAATTCAAGTTTATAAAAGTCAATTAGCTTAATTAAAACTTTTCATTCATTAATTAAACAGTTTTCGGATTTCAAATAGTGGTGAAACTGGCAATGTGGCTTTTTTAAGGAACGAACTTAAACCAAGGCATGATGATCTCTCCGTTTCCTGTTTGTGACCGATTATTTGCAGAAATTAACCTCCAAGTCTAGAACCCATTTCCTCATCCACAACCCGGGGGTGCTCCAAATATTCTGTAGCTAGGCATATTGGGATTGTATTCGTGATTATAACTAACGTCATTCGATCGGACAGCAATATGTCTCAACCCAAAACGCAGAGTAATTTTGGAGCGCCTGGTAGGACGGTCCTCACCGCGGTAGAACCTCGGTTCCCTTCAGCGAGTTGCTGCACTTATGGTGTACGCAATTGTACACTGTTTGCGCACCGTTTTCATAGCATCTTTCGATTAACCGTTTGAATTTTTCATTTAATATGTTTTAATATGGGGTGAACAAAAGAGTATGGCTTTTTAAGTCTTTTGTACGTACTGTTGTTTTCTTTTGCACTATTGTTCAATTTCTAGTCAACTCTCTGGAACTGTTCATCGATAAATATTTTCAGGTATTGGTTTCGTTCAAAGATTTGGTCTTTCTTTTTTTCCTGGGGTGAAGTTGAATCTTTGCAAAGTCTTACATTTCATGCTTACGTCCTTTCGAGAAACGCATGACATTCATTGGTGTTGCAGTTTGGGAATGAAGTATACTGCTTCCGGTGTGAGCAAGTTTCTTGGATACGTTTTTTTGGTATGCCAATACATCTAGGAAGAGACGCTTCGTGATCTGTGTTCAGATTTTCTTCAAAATAGTTTAGCAACTGTTATTCATGTAGTCATATTAAACCGGCATCACTCACATCTACTATATTTTGGATTTTAGCTAGGCTGATTCAAACGCTGTTTTTAGAATTGATCAGTGCAACCCTTTAACTGTTGGAAACAATGATGTTTCCTCATGCAGTGCAATTTTCCTACTAGCTGCAGTGTTTTCTAATTTCTAAGAATGATGCATGCGTGGAAGTCAAACTCACACGACGGCCTTTGGCTTATTAAATTCACTCATTGAATCTCATTAGACTCGAAATATTCCTCCAGTTATTTTACCCTTATTCATTCTTCCGGCTTCTATTCCAATATTTTGAATATCAAGACAATGTATCTGCACTTGCTGCATGGCGACGATATTTTGCATGAAAATATTACCATTTGCTAATTTTTCAGCAACAATAAAACTGAAACTCATAATTTAGCTGCCAACTACTTTTGCTGGACAGAAAACGACGACCACCATTGCGCCCTAAGACTCATCAAATGTTTCATGCGCTTATAATCATAAGAAAAACAATACAAGATACGCTTTATTTATGCACGACGCATACGACATTGTCAATCAAATGCTTAATTCAATTCTCCGTTTCACTCTGTATCTCACGCGTCTTATTCAAGGTAAGCTGGAAATCGGAAGAAAGCCTTATAGCTCAAGGTGTTAGAAAAACTGGGGAAAAGGGAACTTCCGAAATCAAGCTTCTTCCCTATTTTAGAGAAAACCAATAGTTGACGGTCAAAACGGTGCTGTTCAGTCAAAGGTATGACCGTGTATTTTGCCATGTGTTTAAATAAGCCTGTTCTACGCTCTTAACGTCTATCATTGTGCTTGTGATGACCATTCATAGTCGTCGAAGTCACTTGAATACACTTTTTCATTGGGTGCGCAATTATTCAGAGATTTATAACAATTACCCAGAACGGCATCCGATAAAATAGCTTCGAAATATCATTATGATTCTGCGCCAAGAACTCGTCGATCCTTCAAGTTTTCGATTCAGTAATTTTGGACAAAAGCCGATGTTACACAGGTTTCACACGGATTCCGTCACAAGGGAGCCGCATTCTTCAGGACAGAAAGCTACTAACGGATGCTACCATATAAATTGAGATTTGCGT